GCATTGATGGGTGAGGAGAGAAACCTTGTACTCAATGATAAAAGCTAAGTTCATTCAACTAAATTCCTGTATGATGTTTCACGGTGTAGTAAAATAATATATTATATTGGTTGGTGTTGGTGCAGGAATATTTCAGCCAGAGATCAAAACCTTCGTCACTCATCCAGCTGAAGTGTCCTTGAGTAAAACACTGGCTCTCTGCCAGCTTCAGGATGCTAGCAGATCCTGACCTCTGGCCTTCCTCTGGAATGTGGACGGAAGCAAGAAGTCATGAACTATGTTTTTTTTAAGTTTACTTAATATCACATTACAGCAGATTCTTGCCCATGTGAAGTTCCCGACCACCTTTCCTAGAAGAAGAAATAATTAAAATAAATCTCCCCTGAAGCCACAAGTCAGATTATAGGATGTCAAAGGGGGCAGGCCAAACAAGCTCATCTCTCGCTGAAGACCAATACCTGCTCTTCTTCCTGTCATGCCTCGACCCAAAACCTCCCTCCTGTCCTGTCTCACTGTCGGCATCCAAATATATCTGACCTCAGGCGTTTGTACCTATCTTTTCTATACCTTCTCTTTTGATTTGACCATTTCACACACCAGCTGTGTAGAAGAAACTATTTCCTAAGCACAGATGATTTCTTCAAAAGTGGTTTCAAGCTGTTATTTCATTCTAAGAACGAGAATCTCTTTAATTTTTTTAACCTTTGTTTAAAAGAGCAGCTACCACGTTTCTCATTTTGAGGCAAAACTCTACGTTTGACTCTTGATCCACTTTTCATCTCTGCGTTTGCTGTGTAAGTTGTGACGCACGTTTTGCCTGACCTGCTCTAATTCCCTAACGAGATTGCCGTCCCCGGATATCCCATTAGACCCTGATTAACCGGGCTCAGCTCATTAGCTCTGACAAACCAATTCACCCCTGTCAACCTCCGCCCCAGACTATCCATCCCCGCTCCTGCATCCTGACAAAAAACATGCACTGCAATGCCAGGAGTCAAAGAACAAAGTCACCTCTCGGTTGTCATGGGACTGGTGAAATATAAATAATGTCTCAAATGTGTAAATAAGAGGTCTCAAAGGATTTTATGTGCTTCCTTAAAAGCATTAAAAGTGGTTATAATGAGGCTCTTTGCAAATTTTTTTCCATTTGCTTTCATTGCACCAGAACCTCATTAAACTGGTTGGTCAGAGCATAACACAACAGCATAAACTTTCATATTCAATCATGTGCATGGCTGATGTGTCCATTTCCTGCCTTCAGTGCCCAGTGTTTGTGCAACAGGTGTTATTTCTTTGCAAACCTCCACAATCTTTTTTCTCCTCTCTCATATTCTCACATTTCATCTCCACCTGTTCCCTTTCTCTTCTTGCCTTGTTCTTTCATTTCTTCATCTGCTCCTGTCTTTTGACCTCATAACCTGATTTTCTTCTTACAATCGGTTTACGTACCTCCTCTCGCCATGCTCCCTCTCCCTGTCTCTCTCTCTCTCCTTCCTCTCTATTTCCATCTTTGAGCTTTATCCCTTCATCCCTTATCTCCTTCATCCCCTCCAATCCTCATCTGTTCTTCACTGTGGAGGAAGGGACAGAGAAAGAGAGAGTTTTTCACAAGTAAGCTGCTAGCAGTCTGCCGGGGGAGAGCATCGGAGGAGCCAGCGAGCAGGTTGTGCACCCTGGGATTGTGGAATCTAAAAAAGCTCAAAGGGGAACTCAGAGCCAAAGGTGTCTGGGAACCAGGAGCTGCACAGGTGCAGAAGAAGAGAAGGGACCACATTGTGTGTGGAGAAGGTGAGTATTTTCTTTTATGCTTCTGTAGTTGCACTTTCTTCAGGTGCTTCCTCTGCCTTTGGAGAAAGTTTGGAGCTGCAGTGAAATTCCGTGAAGCTGCATCATCTTACTTTGTGAGGTTAAAGTGGATTTTTGCTCACAATGTACAACATTGATGGGAAACTGAATTGAGGTTTCCTGCACATGGCTGCCTGCAAACTATGAAATGTAGCTGCAGCTGCAGTTTGCAGTGATTTTGGAGAAGCATGAGCTTTCCTCCTTTTTTCCTCACTTCCTCACAGTTGTACTACAAAATTCAGGAACCATTTTTCATGCAGAACGCTACTCAACTCCACAAACTCCTGACAGCTTTTAAAAGCTTCGAATTTCTTGCAAGTGAGAGAATAATTTATGAGTCCAGTGTATCCAATGTAATGATTCCTTAAACCCTTTGAAGGTGATCTTTGGATTGTAGGGAAGCTGCCAAAGAGGATTGGTGCCTCAGGTGTGGCAGCCGTAAGCTGCAGCCTGATCTTTCACACAAGGCCAGACCTCACCCAGCTCACTTTGTCTGCAGATTTCCTGCAGCATGTTTGGTACTGCGAGGGCTGCTGTTGGAGGGCTTTGTCTCTTTCTGGGACTAACATTTTCCTTGGCTTCAGCTGATCATATTTAACCCTAGAAATTACTTCCCTTGAGAGTAGATACATGTATGTGAAATGCACCATCATATCTGTCAGAACAGGACAGTAGAGGAGGAGCTGATGATGTTTGACTATAACAGACTATAACAGCATCTCCCACCATCCACCTCCTTCCCTCTCTCTCTCTCTGTTCCCGAGGTAAAGAGCAGTCAGTAATCGGATGACAGGAGATTTGACCGGTAAAGCTTTCCTTAAGATCTCCTGCCCAGGATTTAAAGCCCTATAGCAAACCACCCCACTGCCGCCACCGTTGCTGCCCCTCCCCTATCCTCTACCCTCCATCCTGCATCCTGTCACAGGTTCAAGCTGCTACCTGCGCTGCACGTATTACACCTCCTGAACCTTCACCTCTACTGTTAATGAGGTCTACTTGACCTTATTGTGCAACATGTACATGCAGGGCTGCAACTGGCCATTTTGAATCAATCTTTTGACTCTTTTTTCCCATATTTGATTTAGTATTTAATCAATGAAATGTCCGAAACTAGTAAAATGTATAGAAAATTCTTAAAATTGCTTGTTTTGTCCAGTGAATATTGTAGACCTTTAATATATTCAAATTGCAACAATATAAAACTGTGAAAAGCTTCAAATCCTCACATTTGAGAAGCAGCTACCAGAGAATATTAAGCATTGCTGCCTTGTATTAACTGGTGCAAATTATTAGTAATAATAATATAAAGGGTTTAAACGGTTGCACAGAGCATTTAAATAAGAGGATGTAATTCGGAATTCACACTTGCATTGCTTACAACCTTTCAGAGGGTCTTTTTTTAAGTATGGAATGATGCTCGATAATAATACTTTCCTCATATGTGGAGGTTAGAGTTTTGAAAGAGTTTCATTGCCAACGAGCAAAATTGTGCACGGAGGTAGCTGATGTTAAATTAGTCAGACGTCAGTATCCTATTACAGAGTATTAGGCACATGCAGTAAACTACTGCATGCAAAGCTTTTGGGAGATGAAAATGATGTGAAAGTAAAAGAACCAGGAGTAAAAGGTTTTAAATGTTACATGAAATCAAACACCGTTTTATTGCTGTGATGTTGGTGGTTTAAAACGTATTTTATTGTTTAAGTCCATGTACTTCTGGGTCCAAGCCAAACCCCTCAGTCAGTCGACCTTAAAAAAGCTGAAAATAGTCAATGAATAAGCACCCAAATCATCAAAGTTGAATTTAATATGAAAATATTAAGGACGAAAATGCTTTGCAGAGCGTTTCGCTTAAAATTCCAAAGCATCCCATACTGACTTCAAATATCTGAAGATGAGCTGGTCATCAATTCATTAAGGGGAAAGTTCTGATGCAACAGCTCAAATGAAAGAACTTAAAGTGAGTCTGTTAATAAAGCCTAAAGAGGAGATTTGTTATTTGGATTCTCAACTCTTACTGTAGCCTCTGTTGAACATTAAAACTCAGCTGCATCAACTAGAAATGTACTGTTACTGCTTTTACATGCCCTGTGCATTAAGTCTAAATTACATTTTAGCTCCTTTCCTCACTTCCTTCCTTCCTAACTTGTACTTTTCCTTTTCTACTTCCCTCCTATCTCTTCTATACATCTACTTTAAATCCTGATCCTTTGTTCAATCGCTACTTTCAACATTTCCCTTCTTTCTTTCCTTCCATGTTCAGTATTTTATCAGACACTATGAGAGCTAACAGTATTACAACTTTGGTTTAGGGAGGGATTAAACCCGTCAGGTATGTGTCTAATCTTTGCTCTAGACTTGATGGTGTAACAGCAACTCAAGTGTTCCAGATAATGATGCACAGCCTGCTCAGTGGATCATTGTGTTCCTGTACTGGAACCACATCCAAGCTGGAACCACATTATTGGTCAAAGGGAGTCAATTCCTTCAGGGGTTGTTTTACATAGTTAACATGGTGCAAGTTAGATTGAATTATTTGGTCATACTGAATTAACTGATTCTTTTGTCTTTTCTCTTTCTCTCTCTGTTTCCTGTACCAGAGTGACAGTTTTTCGTTTTCCGTCAGTAACATCCCCTAGCAACCGTCGCCATGGCAGCTGAGAAAGCTGAAATGGATGCACTGAAAAAGGAGTGCGATGGCCTCCGTGCACAGATTGAGGTGAGCTCCTCTTCAAACATTCAGCACTTATTAGAATATCTGGAAGTTTTACGAGACCTGATTACACAGAACATAACATTGCTGTCCACGTTTTCAATCTAATGGAATTAAATAAAAGGTTTATTTAGCTTAAGAAGTAGGAGACCATACTAAAACCAGAAGAAATAGTTAATATTTTAGTTTACCTGAAAATACACTGAACTAGAGATACATGGTTTCCATTGGACAGTGACAATAGATCAAATAAACTTTATCTTGTGAGCTAATACCACTAGCATTATAGCTATCTAATGTCCTGTACCACCACTACTACAATAGTACTACTGTTACTAGTACAAGTATAGTTTCTCTCACTTCCCCCAGCAGTATCACACACCTTTAAATGACTTATAACAGCACCTACAAATGTGTTAAGTTGGTGAAAAGATCACAATTGAGCCTGAATAGACCTTTTTCACAGCAGACATGAAATAACAGGGTTAACATAGGTGTAACCAATGATGTTACTTAAGGTTCTGTTCCATTTAGTGTAGCAGAGCCTTTCCAATGAGCCAACATGCACAATCGCACCTACTTTGTTTGATCTGAATGGAATGGAAAATGAATTAGTATCATTGGTTACAGCTGTGTTTACCCTACTAATTTATGTAAAAATGCCTGCTGTGAAATATAATCTTAATCAACTCAATTTAAAATTTGGTGGGTTTGGGCTCAGCTGTGTGGAGTTTACCTTCCTGACTCTTTTCTTCTTTCTCCCCTACATGTAACTCCCTGTGTGACCACCAGACGGCCCGCAAGGCTGTGAATGACAGCACCATGTCAGGAGCAGCAGGGGGCGTGGCCTCGGTGGGGCGAGTCCAGCTGAAGCTCAGGAAGACACTCAAGGGTCACCTGGCTAAAATCTATTCCATGCACTGGGCAGCTGACTCCAGGTGAGGACGAGGAGGTGGACAGGAGTTCCTCCACCATCACAGTTTTTCCACATTTCAGAGTACAGTTTAGGAAACCGCACAGAAGCTACTGATAACATTAATGATGGTCCAGTAAGTCATGACAGTGTGACAGTGAGTCTGCATGCACAATACCAGGACCCTAAAACTGAAGCATTTATTATTTTTACCTGTGATTTTCCTTGAGGTTTATGTCCACATGCCTTTTGTACAGTTATCTCAGTGGTTCAGTGAGGTATCAGTGGAAGGAGCCAAAGAAAAACAGTTCTTTAGTGGTTTTATTAGTTCTGGTGCCACTAGTTAATCTGTGTGCTCTTTAGCTACCTATTAGAGAAAGAAATAACTTTTGTCATACCATTATTTTTGTAGGTCAAGCTTGGGAACACTTAAAAGTAGTGTACTATAGTGTCCACCTGTTGGATTAATTTTGTTTGAAGAAAACAATAGCAGGTTTGTCTCAGACAAAGATTTAAGGATTTGTGTTTCTGAAACAGATTACTGGTTTATGTACGACATAAAAGGCATTAAGACAAGATATAGTTAATTGGTGTGACTTTATTAATGGATGATGAGCGGTACTGTAACATGCTCCCAGAGGTGTAATCTGAGTCTGTAGTGTTGTTGGAGCTCTTGGGTACATTTAATATAAATGTTTCAAGATAAATTGTTTTTCTTTAGTCTCCATTTAAAATCTTAATAATTTTCAATTAGTCAGAGTGACTCTGTCGTCTCTCTCACAGGCAAATGGTCAGTGCATCACAGGATGGCAAACTTCTCATCTGGGACTGCTTCACAGGGAACAAGGTAAGCTCACATATATATTATATATGTATGTGTTATAAAGGTCAGTATACAAAATGGGCCAATAATGACAACTGTATGTTTTAGGTGAGGTAGAAGAAGTTAAACCGCCATGAGAGCAATGTCAGCTGAAATGTCCTCTGCCATACTCTTGTTAAATGCCTTAGGGCATTTATCATCACTGTACCTTTTTCAATCTTTCTCTATCATTTAATATACTGATGACCCCTAATATTTCACATTATAATCAAAACTGTTCAATGAAGCCAAATACTGAACTCAGCAACTGCAAAAACAAGCGATTTGGATGAATTTTGAGCAGATTATTTCTTGTTTAGGGAACTTTTTATACAATTCTCTGTCTGTCATTATGTATGGGTTTTAAAAAATATATACTTACAACCATACATACCTAATAGGCTTCTTACTTGACAAATTCAGTGTTTTCTTGTCCATGACTCTTGACCATTGTTCTATTAGACAA